AGGAGTAAAGGTTATTCCTTTCCTTTTCCGAACGTGTTGGCGTTTTTGGGTAAAGGAAGGGGTCTTTGTTAGTGTTGAGGTTCGTAGAACCATAAGTCATGGGTTATGTTTTCTCTCTGTGTTATTGTTGTTGTTGATGATTGGGTTGTTGTTTGACTCTTTTTTATGTTGAAAATTGGGTTGTTGTAGAACCGTAGTATTGAGGTGCTTGTTGTTTTATTATGTTTTATGTTGCTTTATAAAGGCTATTGGTGATTAATTTTTTTTATATATGTTGTTTTAGGAGATTTTGTTGGCATTGGTGACAATTGATCTTTTATCCCAAGTTAAGCAGTCATTTAGGATTGAAGCTGAAGTTATATAATCATTTGGTTTTGTAAAAAATGATGATGAAAATTGTGTTCATAAAAGAGAGGAAGCTCATGGAATGCATGATGTTCATTGCGCGTCTCCCTCTCCATAAGAGACTTATTCTACAATGTTGACTCAAGTTATCAACGACATCTGAGATCTTCACACGTTTGTGGGAACCAATTTGATAACATGGGGAACAAATTTAACAACATCGACACTCGAGTTGGACACCTAGGGAAGAACACTCTCCATGAAGGGTTTTGCTCTATTTTTGGTCATTTTTTCCCCTTTGTTAGATGAGTGAGTGAGTTCAATGCTATTGGGTGTGTTTCCTACACTAGTGATGAGGCTAGGCCATTGATTTTTTCAAAAATATGTCCATTTAGGTGGTTTTCTCCAACTGAGGTGAGATGCATGACCATTGTTGTAACACCCCTTCTCGGAGTATCACTTGAAAATTTTTCATTTTACTAATTAAGAAGTATGACATCTAATGTTGTTACAATGCACACATTTTAAAAGGCATTTTAAGTAAATAAAAGATATGTGAACAAGAGCAAAATATATACATATAAGATAACGTGCTGTCAACTTTGACTTTTGCTCACTATTTTAAGCACAAATTTCCCACAGACCTCCAAATGATATGACTTTTTTTTATTATAAAATAGGCCCAAAAAGCTTTCCCATGACTACTAATTTGTAATTTTTGGACATCTAAGTAGGTATAGTTAATTCCTTAAAGTTAACATTTTATATGTTCTTGTCAACTATGACCTTTGTTGGTTGTTTTGCTCTTAACTTTCTCCACCGAACTCCAAATGAGTTGATTCTTGTTTTGTTGGAATCTAGACTCAAAGAGCCTTCAAATTACTACACACTCATAATTTTTAGACCATTGTACTAGATGCAGTTAATTTCCCAAAAAAAATGTTTTTCTAAGCTTCCTAAATGAGTTTACTTTCAAGTTATTGTTTCATGTTTCTTATTTTAGATGGGTGAGTGCGTTTAACGGTCATAGATGCAAAAAACATGTTTTTTAAAGCTTCCGCAATGAGTTTACTTTCAAGTTATTGTTTCATGTTTCTTATATTAGATGGGTGAGTGAACTTAGTGGTAATGAGTAGTGTTTAGTGCACCAGTGAACACGTTAGGTCATTGAATTGTTGAGGAAAAATGTCATTTAAGTGATTTCATATAAGTTAGATGAGCTCCATAAGCATTGCTAGATATTTTCTGCCCTGGTAATCGATTACATGGGTCTTGTAATCGATTACTAGAGGCCTAGAGGCCATTTGAAAAGAAAATTTAACTATACTCTCCAACTGGATGAACAATACTCCTTAACTCTATTTTTCTGACCTTTGTTGGTTGTTTTACACCTAGCTTTCTCCACCGAACTCCAAATGAGTTAATTCATGTTTAGTTGGAATTTAGACTCAAAGAGCTTTCAAATGACTACTAACTCATAATTTTTAGACCCTGGTACTAGATCCAATTAATTTCCCAAAAACAACGGTTTCTAAGCTTCCTAAATGACACCAGTTCAAAAACAGCGTATATTGTCACGCGTTTAACGTCCAACCACTGAATAGCCAATGTTAAAAATGACCGGTGACATTTTTGTAAATAAAGGCAATTATTAAACATCGTTTAGAATTGTAATTCGACGTCAATCTATTATATTGGGTAAATTTTGCGAAAAGACTTGGCGCGAAGATGAAAATGTATTTACGTATGACGTCGAATTCCCTAGAATTAAACGTCAAAAGGATATAAAATGTCGAATGTCCCAGCGTTAGACGTTAAAAGGTTAGTGAATTCAATAAAAATTTGAGCGGGAGATTGAAAATTCATTCATTTTATCTTAGCGCGCGATACCCTCTTCTCTACTCAAACTTTTCTGGAACAAAGTTTGATGACCATCACATGTAATCTTTCTTTCATTTGTTACAAATGCATGTTAATTAACTACTTTATGTATGATTTTCGTTTGTTTTGACCAATTATTTTTTTGTTCTTGTCCTTCATAGCCGCATTCTGATTTCTCTCTTACTGATGGTAACACTTTATTTCGACGAACCCATCTTTTGAAGGTCAGTTGTCGTTTTCGTTTTGAAGAACTTATTTGTTGAACTTGTTTGTTGTTTTATTTTGTTGAACTTGTTTGTTGCTATTGTTGTTTGGTTGAACCAGTTTTTTGTTGTTGTTTGATTGAACTTGTTTGTTGTTTGTTATTGATACTACTCTATACGTTCATAGTTCATGCTTTATAAAATACCAAAAACTGAACTTTGTTATTTTTATGCTTTTCAGGTCTCTTAGTGTTGTAAAAAAGGATCACAATTAATTAAAAAAAACAAAAAAAAATTGATCAACGTCGAATATTAACAAAATTCGACGTTAATTTGCTTAACGTCGAATTGTTCTATGTTCGACGTCAATTTAACGTCTCCCGATATGACGTCGACTTTGAATTCGACGTTGTTGAGATTGTTAATATGGGGAGCACATGTTTAGTTGAACCCACAATCTCAGTGATATTTGTGTTTTTGATGATGACAACACATAATTAATACTAACACATGTGTATGTAGTGTGTTATACATGTTAAATGCTTATGCTTACTATGTTATATTTCTACAAGCATATATGTAAACATATTCTTTTGATTATTGCATACCATTGTGTTTGATATGTGATTTTATCTGTGTATGCATAATACGAGGTTTTGGAAATGAAAAACCACAAGCACCTAGCTTCAGCTATTTGAACTTTAAAATGTGGCAAAACAACAAGTTTTAAGTCGATTACTATTTGTTAAATCGATTAAAACTCGTATGTTTGCATAAATATTTTTCAAGTGTGTTGTGACGTATTTTGAGAAGAAAAGTTTTCAAATATATGCTAAGTGTTTCTACTTAATCGATTGCATGCATCTTGTATTTGACTAAGTTTGTTAATGATTTTAAAATTGTTTTAATGCTTGACATAACTGTCACAACGGTCATATTTTTAAATATGTTGACCAAACATTTATTGCAAATTGATTACATTAATTAAGCTTTCAATTAATGCCTTTGACTGCTGTTAATCAGTTATAACTGTGAATTGTATTCGACTAGATAAATAGCGTAATCGATTAAAACCTGTCTGATTTGTCTTATACTATATATTGACGCATGATTTGATTTCTAAAAGAAGAATTGATCTTTACACTTTCATATCTTTTCAGTGTGTGCTTTGAAATCTTACAAAAGAGAGAAAAGGACAAAGAATCAAGAATTGTCGTGGTAATAAAGTCTTAAGGATTTCTTGTGAAGTAAGATTGTTTTGATACGAAAAGACTGATCGTTCTGCACAGGAAGGTTTACTGCTTGATCAGAAAAGCTTTGGCAAACACTCAAAGTTGCTGGTTTCCCTGTGGTGTATACAGGAAGAAGAACGTGGTTCTTGATTTTGAGGGGTATCTCAAAGGGGTCGACAGTAGAAGATGATTGTTCTTGCTGCTTGTCTGTTTTGTATTGCCTATACTTAGATTAGTGAGTTAAAGAGGTGATTTACATTTTGACATGAGGCCGTTGTAAAGCCCTTGGTGTAAAAACTCAAATCTATATAGTGCGTTGGCTTGCATCTCAAGTTGTGTGGAAGGACATTGGATGTAGGAAGGTTGACCGAACCAGTATAAACCACAGTGTTTGAATTTTCTTATCCCTTCTCTCTACATTAAGTCGATTATATTGTCATTGCATTCGAATACACTTATTGTTTCATTGCATACAAACTTACTTGTGATTCAAGAAAAGTTTAAAGACTTCCTAATTTGCGAAAAAGGTTTTAAAAGCAATCATTTTTACACATCACCAATTGGCACCAGAGCTGGTTTTCGAAAGATATTTGGAAAACAAATCGATTAATATTTTTGTCTAATCAATTCGATCTTGAAAATGGACTTTGTTTCTCATACATTGGAGAAAGTGAATCAACAAATAGATCACCTTTATTCGGTGGTGAAAATTATGCTTTCTAGAAAATCAGGATGCAAATTTTTCTTGAATCAGTGGATAAAGCTGTATGGGATGCTATACTCAATGGTCCATTTGAACCCACTCATGTTGTTAATGGAAAAAATGTTTTAAAAAAATTTTCTAAGTGGACTCAAGATGAGAACCGAAGAACACAATATGACGTTAAAGCTCGTAATGTAATTGCCTTTGCTCTAACAATGGATGAGTTTTTCAGGATTTCCCAATGCAAGACAACAAAAGAAATGTGGGAAGTTCTTGAAGTAACACACGAAGGAACTGATGAAGTAAAACGTGCCAGAAAAATTCTCTAATGCAGGAATACGAGATGTTCAGGATGAAGGCTGGAGAGACTATCTATGATGTGCAGAAAAGATTCACACACATCGTAAACCATTTGATGGCTCTCGGCAAGGTGTTTGACAAGGTAACTGCTATATCATAATCTAAAGATTTGGCTAACATATGGAAACCTTGTTTGGCAAGCTTAGGGAGCATGAGCTAGAGCTTGGTAGATTGAGAGAGGAAGAAGAAATTAAGCAAAAGCAATCGATTGCTCTTAAAGATAAAAACAAAAGATCCTCCAAGAAAGCTGAATCTGAGGTTGAGTCAGATGCATAAATGCCAGAAAAGGAAATCATGAACATGGTGGTAAGAAAGTTTAATATGAAGAAGAGAAATATTGCAACTAATATTGCAGGTTATTCAGGAGGAGGAAAGAAGAGTTCAAAGAATAACACTGTCATATGCTATGAATGTGGCAAGGATGGTGATATAAAGTCGGATTGTCCAGAAGTGAAAAACAGGCAGAAGGCTAACACTAGGTATCCACAGGACAAGAAGAGCAAGAATAGAAAAGCTTATATAGCCTGGGAGAACATGATGATGATTCATCCAGTGATGATGATTGCAGTGTTGAGGAGTAGTCCAATTTATGTTTCATGGCAGGCTATGCACACTTTGATGACAGCGACAGTGATTTTGAAAGCGAACCAATTGAAGTTAAGTATGACTTGCTACTAGATGCCTTTCAAGAGATACATGCAGAAGCCATGCGACTTCAGTACAAGGTAAATCAATTAAGCTCAGAAAGAAAAGACTATGAATATCGAATTAATAACCTTGTAGAGTGAAATGATAAGCTGAAAAAGGAATTAGAAACTGCTTTACAATCTGCAAAAACTGTTAAAAGTGAAGTTAAGATTGTAGAGAAGAATTGTGAAAATTGCCCTGTTCATCAAGAGAAAATTGATTACTTAACAAGCACTATAGCAAAACTTACTCAAGGAAAAGATAATCTAGATGTTGTGTTAAGATCTTCAGGGAGAGCAATAAATAGACAAGGCATTGGTTATAAAGCAAATAGTAATAGGATTAATCCTAAGAAGTTTATTGATCTGAGTAAACCTATTACAAATGCTTGTTTTTATTGCAATACTATTGGTCATAATGTCAGAAATTGCTATTACAGAAAGGTTGGAGTTTCTAAAGGGAAGTATAAGTGGATTCCTAATGAACAACCTCCTGCAACTCACAACAAAGGACCAAAGCTTGTTTGGGTACCTACTTCAAAACCATTCAATTTTTTGCAGGAAAGTAAGCTGCTGACTAAAGCAGTACAGTGCTCAAGGATGAACTGTAGTGGAATAAATCACAAGTTCTTGAGTATCTTGATATGGTTACTGAAACAGTTATTTTCATGCACTCATGCATCATAAGTATCTGTATGAATGATTGTTATGTGCATGTTTGTTGAATTCCTATATGGTGGATCTGTCTATATGAAAAACTGTTTGCACGACTTTTAATCGGTTAGGTTAATAATGGAATTGATTATGATCTGTGTTTTTTTCTCTATTTTAAGTAATACTCACTCAAACATAAAGTCGATTCTGATAGTAATGAAATTGATTAAATTTCTCTGATTTGTCTTCTCTATTTTGAAAATTCAAACCTAGTGAAATTAATTAATCTTTTTAAATGGCGCGAATGTTTAATTTTTTGACTTTCCTACAAAATAGATTTTTGTGCTATTAAACATAATTAGAGAAGTCTGTCACCCATACTTTCTCCGCAAACATTATGATCTTTCCTCTTGGATATTCTGAAATTCCTCTTCTACATTATGTATCAATGACAACCTCATCATCACAAAGGAAGAGAGTGAAAACACTTGGTAACAAAAATATGCGGCGAGCATCAAATCTGGATAGATGGATTAGTGGCGATAGTGCTCAATCAAATTTTTTGGATAGCTGGAAGATGAGAAAACTTATCTTGCACAAGTACTTGAAACTAAGCTTCTTTCAAAATGAAGGATTTGTCTTTCAAAGTTGGCCAAGCAAACAGGGTCTGAAGAAGTTTGTTGAAATGGAAGACCCATGGTATCCTAAGCTAGTAAGGGTCTTTTATTCGAATCTCAAGATAAGTGATGGAACACTATGTTCCAGAGTGAAAGGTGTGTATATTAAGTTGACACATGAGGTATGGAATAACATTGCTAGTTATCATTTAAGAGGAGAAAAATGCCATCTCGGCATGGAAGGTTTCCACAAATTCACTGTATATCAAGACAATTCAAGAAATCCTGTTGAAATGAGGGATTACTCTCACTACAAGACTGGTGGAATGAAGAAGGATGACAGGTTATGTGTTTTTATCATCTCTTGGATACTTATGTAAAGAGGAAGCAACAACACACAGGCCACAACAGAGGACTTGTACCTTCTGAAGGCAATCAAAGAAAACATTCAAGCTGATTGGCCTGCTGCCATATCCGAGAATATGCTCAAGGTCACCAGACTTGAGTCAACAATGCTTCCATACCGTGTCTTCATCTCAAAAGTAATGATCCACTTTGGGGTGGAGTGTGTGAATGAATCCAGTGAGTCTTATGGTAGAACAAATATGATTGATAAATCTACCTTACATCGTATGGGACTACAAGATGGTCCTAATGGCTGGCAATTTAAGGATGAACTTGCTGATGAAGATGAAGACGCTGCAGGATCATCATCTGTTCCTTATCGATCACGTTCAGAATTTGAGAAATTCATAGTAAAATAGATGAGATCTCTAAAGATCCTATGCCAAGAAACCAGATAACATGTTTATTATCTCTATTTCATTTA